CCGCCAGCGCTGTCCACGTGGCTGATATAGTACGTTTGTACTGGCGACAGATATGACGCCACAGTTGGAAGTCGGGTCTGTCCGTGAGTACGCGAGAATGAATTTTTCAATACGTTCCATAGTTATCGGATAGTAGCTACTTGAATTTTGAAATAATTTATTTTGGCTTTTTGAGAGTGATGTACGTTTTAAGTACATCATACTAAAATGCAAGTATAAAGTACATAATAATATTGAGAACGCTTATATTCAGGTGAAGAAAATATTCTAAGAAAAGGAATTCATTGCGTCCCCTTCTGCAGTTCTCCCTTGCGGGAAGGAAATGCATTGGCAAATGCATTTCGCGCAGTAGTCATGGCTTCTAGCGAGGAAAGTGGAAACCTGGTGGCCATTGCCTGCTGATGCAATCTGGAGAATCTATGCAAGCAATCATTCGGGGCAAGAAATTTTGAAAAGAAAAAAAGTAATAATAAAAAATAATAGATCAACTGTTGACTTGCCGAATGCAAAAATTGTAACCTAAAGATGCGTTCGCCATTTAATGCTGAGCAATACAATAAATAAAAATGGTTGTGCGGATGTAGAAGCACGTCAAAACTGTATTTCTGGTCCTGTACAATGTTTGCAATGTCTGGGTATCTGTGGTATTTGATGACATGAACAATTTTTTGAAAGCAGCATGTCGACTCAGCAATTATTCTCGTATTCGTGCTGAAATCTTGCTCACAATGTTTGGTACATCCAGAGTTGATTTTCAGCTAGGTCAACAGTGTAAAAGCGACCTAATTAAACAACGAAATAGAGAAGCAAAACAGAAAGGTAGTGAAACGTGGATCCTGGATGTGGTTCTTTATATCGCTAGTGATGGAAATAACGTATAGTTCCCAGAGAAAGCTTTCAGTTCTTTGAAAGACAGCTATGAGCAGCATTTTGATTTTATTCCTTTCAGATATGTACTCATTGTGGCATTTAAATTTTATGCACTTAGTTTTTATTTTATGAATGAAAAAATTTGCTTTAATGCATCGATGGATTTTATAAATTTATATTCATAATTTTAAATAAAATACTCCATAAATAAGGTTAAGAAAGAAACAGTCATATTAATACTGAATTATATTTGTTGATGATGTTAGAAGGCATTGAAGCAACGAAATTATTTCTGGGGTCCGTTTCCTTCCACGCGACCAGTTACGTGCGTATGCAAGGGTTAATATTGATTTTTGTGGAAATTGATATGTTTAACTGTTACGTTTTTTAAATCTTTTCATTCAATAGAGCTTTCCCAACTAAAATTATATTCATAATTTTAAATACAAATATGAAACAGATTAAATAAGGTCTGTATATATGAACAAGTCTCTCTTACAAACAGCGTTTTGTTGTTCTAAACCTCCTAACCTGAACGTAGATATTCATGCAATTATTGTACTCTTAATATTATGAAATCAAGATCGTTTATGTTCAGAATGTTTAATGTTAATCTTAACAAACAATTTGAAATACTACTAATATATTATTTAATGCTTTCTGCGACTACCTTTTAGCGCCGTTAACCTTTATGGCGAAAGAACCGATTCCGCGTGAAACTTTGAAACCCACTTCTTGTCTTGGGCCGTTGGAGGGGGGGGGGCGCTGTTACCTGGGCGTCCAGCGGCGGTGAAGGCGGTGCGGGGAGCGCTGCGGCCGGTGAAGCAGGTGCGGGGGGGCCGGTCTGCCCGAGCAGGCGCTGCTCAGTCTGCTGCAAGCGGCGGAAGCTGAGCGAGGTCTGCTGCGAGGGAGGGCCGGTCTGCCGGTGCAGGCGGCGGTGGCTACGCAAGGGCTGCTGCTCAGTCTGCTGCAAGCGGCGAGGGCTTCGCGAGGTCTCGTTTCCCATCTCTGCACTCAAATCGGCAGCACGCGGTCCAGCTCAGCCCAGCGCCCTGCACCCTCTGCAACAACCAGGGCAACAGGGATCGCCACCACCCTTTACGTAATAGCAGCAAGTTTTCCTTTCTCGTTCTCACTTACTAAGAAGACTAAGTATTGTAATCGTACGCAGGAAATTGGCGAATTTTCGACACAAAATTTGCATTATTTACGAACCGCTGCCAGCCAATCCCCTGGCAGCCTGCTATGTGGGGACTCGTTGCTGCTCTGCTGGGGAGCTGCTAGCGGTAACACGGACGGTGGTGTGAAGAAATCATTCCCAGTTGTGACTGGAGGCTTGCTGTGATTGGTGGAACGGCATAAGCAAGCGCATTTCGTTGTCTCGCACGCCAGATGAAGCGTAGCAACATAATAAATCTACATGATTATTTTTCTTTCTGCTTTGAACTGTATTTTATCATTAAAGTAAATATACAAACGTTGGCACGCGACTTTAAATATACAGTTTATATTTAATCATTCCCAGTGAATTACGGTCTGAAAGCAGTAACACTTTTACAATTGTATTTTGTGTACTCGTTGGTATGAGAGAGGCGTTTGCAGCTTGATTACGCATTCCAACTAATCCACGTGAATTTGAGTTGAGGTTTTGTTGCCGTGTGTGTTTGCTGTTAATGGTCGTAGTGGTGTCTTGAATTTATTTCTTATAACGAGCCGGCTTCTCTCCTTCGGCACTTTCTTTAGTTCAGGAAACATGGCCGTGATTAGAGGGGCCGCGTCGTTCATTTACGTTATTACATAATTCTGCGAATAGTTCCTTTGCAGGTTAAAGTATTCAAAGGGATAAAGGAAAATGAAATTAATTCAAAGGAAATCTTCATCTAAACTTGATTTCAACAGATTTTCACCTAGAAAAATGAAGCCAAACGAGTGAAGAAATCATTGAAAACTGCAACTGAATGCATTGTTGATAATAAAATATGCAACAATCTATCACAACCATGAAATACACAAACTTATACAATTTAGCTGAAATATGCAAAACTATGCTAAGAAAACTATAAATACGAATCTAGGGTCTCGCATTCAGAACGAAAACGGACTCCACTTGAAAAAGGAGATTTCAATGAAAAGACGGACCTTTCACATTTTTATACTCCATGATGCAAAGACAATGTATGCAACGATTCCCAAACATCAATGATCTTTAAAAAGCATATTACTATCATTAAAAATTAAGGCTTCCGATTGGATAACTTCGCCCCCGCACTCACCTTCATTATCCGGCAAACAATAATAATAAATAAGTTTTATATCACAATAAGCCTAATGATTTATTATGCAGACAATTTAAGTAAAATGTAGATATTCAAGACGAAGTTCCTTTAATTACTTAAATAACTTAAAATTATGCCAGTATTATTTTCAATTAAGCAGGACAAAAAGGAGATATTCCATGTAAATTCTTTAACAATAGGAGGGAGGACATATTAAAATAGGAGCACAAGTCCTCCACAGGAGGACAGATGACAACCCTAATATTTCTATCGACAACAGCTTAAAATCAATTGCGTCAACAGATTTGAAGATATATGCAGTGCCAACTTAAATGGCCCACCTCTATATTTAAATATATGTCGAAAATCAGAATCAACGATTTTGGTGTCGTGTCCATCAAGAATAAAATGAGTGATCGATCAACACTTGATTTTAAAATTTACATTAGTTTCCCAAATTTAACTTAATATAATTAATACAATGATATGGAAATACATAATTAGGAATTAAAATTTAATTAAAAGCTTCTTAACTGAAAAAAGCTCAAAGAGACTGTTCGTAGCTCATTATGTTCGGTGTGTTAATTAGTCGTAAGTCACTTCCGTAATAACGCACAACCTGGTAAGCGGGAGACATACAGACAGATTTTTGAAATTAAGTTGGGCTGTGTCTAAATAGTCATTACGTTTCATGTGATCTTCGCAGTTTTACCCGAAACACGGAATGTTATTGCTACAAAATATCAATCGTAAAACGAGAATACTACTTTTTCAAACAATTTTCATTACCAATATCAAACAGTAAAAGATTATAATATTGCTATCACTCTCGATTTACAAATTAACGAAATTTGGAAACTTGCTGGTGAAATATTAATTTCCAAAGAATTATTGATATTTGTGTTAAGTAGGGTACACGGTATACCCTCAAATGTGTGGCGGCGGGGAAAAGTCTCCTTAAGCCCTCCCTCAAATTCTGCCACGCGCTCTGATAGAAATGAAAGAAACTTACGGATAGGCTATTTCTATGTCTCGCCCTCTACGCGCTTTGTGCCCGCCGCATTGTAATGTCAATTTACTTTCAACGGCAAGTTTTCTCGCTTTGCTCGCCCGGATCCAAGTCACGGCGAGGCTCTGCCTTCGGCCCTCGCGTTCACTATAAACATCCTTGAGTCTGTCCACCGAATAATTACAAATTCACTTACGCAAGAAAGCCTCCAAAATTCAAACTGCGCAGTTACCGCTGGAGCGGCGTGAAATGCCGTAAGTTGCATCCGTAAGTTACACCGTATACTAGACTTCAGCTGATATTTGTAAATGAAATCTCCGATTAATTATCCTGGCATTCATAAGTCAAGTGGCTTTTTTTAATGAAAAAATTAAAACTATTTGACAAGACTAAATGTTTTGAATGATTCTACAAAACCACTAGTTTAAGCAACCATAGTTAAATATAAAATACTTATCGTTAAATTGATAAAGGCATAAAGGCCAAAAAATGAATTTGGAGTAATCGTAATACTCTAGAAGAACCATTATTCTCTTATAAATAAAACTTTTGAAGCACGTTGTAGCTTGTTTAATTAGAGTATAATGGAAGTTTTGGTGAAAGTCAAAATACGTAACATTAAGACCCGAAAGCATCGTGGCGATGATATTTTGGTTTGCCTTAAATTACATATTGTAGGGCGAAATTACGTATTAAAGGTCACTCCAACTGTGTTCTAAGTAGTTTCCGTAATGCTTTGTATTAAGCATTTTATCTGCTGTTCGAAGAAAGAAAAAAGAGTAAAGTATTCAAACAAGACAACACATTGTTTGCAACAAGCAATAAGCATTGTATCGCAAGTATTGTTTTTGAATGTCGAGACTTATACGGCATCCTTTTCTGAGGACGATACTCTCCCCCCCCTCCTGACCTCCCTTTGTAGCTCGAGAAACAACCTAAAACTAATTAGGAGTTTTGTCTGAGGAATCTCATTAATTGACAAGTAAATAACATCCTCGCTATTTTACAATATTACATGAAGAAATTACTATTACAATTTTTTTCTGATCTCATGAACAGTATTCTGAAGACTAAAATGTATAAGTGGAAGATATAGAAAAAGTTTCACTTCTGTCTGATCTCTCTGGTTTCGCAAAAAGGGACGCGATTTATAGGTTTTGAAACGTTGTGTTTTATCTGTTATTGAACAATGATTGTATACTGTACTTGGTTACGAAAAACCTTCATGGTCAAACTGTGGTAATTGAAGTTGGCTTTTCCTTCTTTTGAAATATACCAAAGTCATTTAGCAAACAAAACTTATCCCTTGCCCGGGAATATAGATATCTCAAGTTTGTAATTCTAGTAATATACGTTAGCCTATTAAATCATGGATATGTACATTCAAACCTAAAATGATATAGACCACTGATAATTGAGAAAATAAATGGATGTCACAAACTAGACGACTCAATTCACGGTGACTCTAAATTTTATAACAATTTCCTCACGTCAGCTACTGCCCTGGCAACCTGGGACGCTTACTTGCAGTTTCTCAGCTTTACGATGTGAACAGCTCGCACCACCTTCAAAGACTGAGGCAC